GGATCATTTTCAAGCAACACAAGGCAGGTTTAAATCTGAAACTTTTCATATTCTGCAATCCTACACAAAATAAAGCCCACTCCCATTTTAGTTTTGCATGGAAAACCAGCGAATCCATTTCAGTTTGCAGTTTGTTGTCACTAAAAAAATACAAAGAAGCATCTGATGAAATGCAGTCTTGCTTTCAGTTTTACTCTTTCTTTACTCTGTCCTTCTGAGTCTTTCAACATTTCACAATTTATCAGCTTAAAAAAAATACACAGCTTTTTCAACATGACGATTATTTAAAATGTAGCCACATCAATTAAATGAAAAGTGAAAAATGACACAACCTGCTGTATCTATGAGGCCCACAACAAATGAGGAATGTCAAGGGGAAAGAATAGGACCCTTACCATTCTGGATCTACAAATAAAAGTTTGGAAAACATAAAATGGAAGCAAGAAAGATATTTCCTTTGAAAAGAAACCAACTCCAGACCCACTAAGAAATGCAGGACACACTGTTAGGCTGTAGAATTTGCTTCCTTGGTTGCTTTTTTAAAGGCTCCATTAGTCTGAGCTATGTGGAGCTTTTGGAAGCAACAAGATGGGAATGAGGTTTCTTTGGATGGTAGGCAGTGCTGGGCTATCAGCAATCTCTGTCTCAGGTTTGCAGCTGGGCTGCAAAGTTTTTGACCAGCCTCAGATGAAAAATTCCTCCTGTGGGAGGAATCCAGACTAATTTGTTAGGCCAGAGAGCAATCAAGGGCTCAGTGCAGGCTCTCGATTTCCAGAGCAGAAGCACATCAGAGTTTCCAGTTCTGGGAAGGAAAAGCCCTGCTGGTGAATGCCAGGAAAGGGCTCTTTCACTGTTTGTGCAATCCCAGAATAGCATTGATGCTACCAAGGCAGCAGGGGGATAAACTTGTGAACAACTTGTACCTGATTTCTTGAACAAGTGACATTTCCAGAGGATGAGTGTCTGGAGCCTGCAATCCCATGAGGCTCAGGCTGCACTGGCACATGATCCACAAGCCCTTGCCTCTTATCCATGTGCCCAGCAAGGCAATTTCACAAGGAATTGCACCCTCCTTAGTACCCAGACTGGAAACAGAGTCTGGCATAAAGCACCTGCAGCCAACAGCCAGAGCCACAGGCAGGACTGGGCACCTGCTTGGTTTTGTTGGGCTCAGTTCCAGGAATCACACTCCAGGACTCTTCCCTCTAGACCTGCAGTGGGATCCAGCTCCAGAGGGAGCTCTGCTCTCTTGGGTTGTCTCCAGACTCTCATCCCATCCACCTCAGGCTTCACATTTCTGCCGAGCTCGAAGCAGAATGAGACAAGCAACAGGACAGGGCTACAAGGGTAATATTTTGAGGATACCAAATCCTGCTGCCCTTTAGACAACAGGAGGAAGGCAAGCAGCTCTGACCAGGCACTTGAATCCAGTTTGTCCCACAGGAGCTGCCAGAGGTGTCTGTCAGACTGACCAACGTGGTTTTATTCCCTTCAGGGCCAGCTCGGCCACAGAGGAGCATTTCTGACCCTGCTGCTGCCTTAGACCCCCATTTATGCTTTAAAGAAGCAGTGAACAACTTGAAACCCAGCCTGAAGGCTAAGCCTGAGCTGCCCCAAGGAGCACATGGACTGAGCCAGCAATGTCCCTGGATGATTCCCATGATCCACCCTAGAGGAGGCATTCCAGGCTGTTCTATCCTGACTGGCTGGGGTTCCCACTTTGCTTCCTTGGGGGGAAACAAGCCACAAGAAGATTCCAATAAATGCCAAGTTTTGCCTCTATCCATTGCCTCTGGCAAAGCCTCTGTTGCCATTAGTTGCAAGCTCATGTCTCCAAGAGGAGACAGCATCAGCTATGCCTGCTTGAAAAGATGAGGGATTAATAAAGCAAAACCCAGCCGATTTGAATATTGAACTGTTAAGTACTTATTTCTTGCTCATTCCTGCAGGTTTGGAGCAGGAGGGTTCTGCACTGAGGCTATTTTAATTTGGGGGTTCCTTGCAGATTGATTTTTGTTCAAGTTCTCAAAGTTTTATTAATTGTTTATGATCAAGCACCACATGGGGCAGGTGGGGTACACTGGACAGTTCAAACTGTGCTCCTGTTTGTGGCTGAGGTTTGCAGATGCATTTAGTGCATTTGAAAGTGCAATTCCTAGATGAGAATTTTCGTTGGGGGATTTTGATGCCCATTTCAATAGGGTAACTGCCTCAGGCTGACTGAAATGGTAAAACCCTGCCTTGAGGTGGGGATGGTGCTTGCAGCAGCCTGGAGAAGGAGCTGTTGGATAAGTGGGAGGGAGCAGAGGTGCAAAAGCAAACGATGGGCTGATTGTCCCTGCCTGGGGAGGACTGGGCGTCTCTGAACCTTCCACTTTGCCCCGTGGCAGGAACAGCTGGATTTGAGCAGCCTGGCTTTGGCTGCAGTGCTTGAGAGGTGTAAATCCATCCAGGATGGATGGAAGACAGGAGCAGGCAGCATCCAATGCAAACGGGATCCATCCAAATGGGCCAGAAAGTTATAATGGGACTGGAGCACCTTCCCTATGGAGACAGACTGAGAAAGCTGGGGCTGTTCAGCCAGGAGAAGAGAGGGAGCCCCTACAAGGAGCTAAAGGGGCCACAGGGAAGCTGGAGAGGGACCCCTCATCAGGAACTGCAGGGACAGGACTAGGCTCAATGGCTTCCCACTGCCAGAGGGCAGGGATGGATGGGATATTGGGATGGAATTCCTCCCTGTGAGGGTGGGCAGGCCCTGGCACAGGGTGCCCAGAGCAGCTGTGGCTGCCCCTGGATCCCTGGCAGTGTCCCAGACCAGGTTGGTCACTGGGGCTTGGAGCAACCTGGGACAGTGGAAAGTGTCCCTGTCCATGGTGGGGGGTGGGACAAGATGATCTTTAAGGTGATCCTTTTTTACCCAAACCATCTTATGATTCTATGAAATAAACACCGAGGTTTCTTTTAGCAAACTCATTCCAGAGAAAGCATCCCAGGTCACTGATTTAAACCAAAGATGGCAGAACACAGGATATTGTTCTTTCACACAGCACTCCTAGTTAACTTTGAGTCTGGTTACATCAAAGCTGCCTTCAGCTGCTTCCCACATTCATTCCTGCAGTCTTCATGGCCCTTTGGATCAAACTTTCCTCTGTTCCATTTCCCTTTGTCCAATTAAACAGGCTATTTACTCTAATTAACAGCTGCTGCTGTTGGGATACATTTGTTGCCTATGGGGAACCAACAAAAGGGGGAGTCACAGCTGGGGCAGAGCAAATCCATGGCCTCTGATATGCTGCACGGATTTGGGATAATTAAGAGCACTGCCAATTAATTCTGTGTGCAGACCAGTGACATGGGGTGCCTTTGCCTGGGCCATGCTCTGCATGTGGCTGTGAGTTACAGACAATTGCAGGAAAAAAATCATATATTTGTGAAATGTCAGGTGATGCAGCCTGCAGGACTTGGAAGTAGTTCTTTAGGTTTCTCCATCCTTCTGCACAGCTGCAAGTTCCAGGGGGATCCAAATGCACTCCCACCTCCACAGGCAGGAGAAGCAGGGCTATGGGCAGGTGTGAAGCTCAAGAATTGATAATTGGTGAAAAAACTTCAGGGAGCTGGCAAAAAATTAGTTCCTGCCCAGTAGGATGCTCCTTAAGGCCTCTCTCTCTCTCTCTCTCTCTCTGAGGAATCTCTCTGGAACTTTTTGAGTCAGAGGAAAACACTTAAAACATGGCATTTCCTGGCAACTGCCTGCCCTGGGATCTGCATTAAAGCAGGGAAGGGATGCTGTTGGTGGGGAGGAGATGGAGTGGGCAGGGAAAGGGCTGGGCTGTGGGGTCTGCAGGTGAGGCTGCCCCGTGGCCCCTGCAGCCTGGGGTGGGTCCCAGGAGCAGCACTGGAGCTTTGCCTCAGCCATCATGGAAAAGCAGGTGAGGCCTGAGCACGGCCACTGCAGACAGAACCAGACAGGTTCTGAAGAAAAAAGTACTCTCCAAAAATTCCCTCAAGGACCAGCAGCTGTACTGGTGTGTGCTGGTGTTGCCCACCACATTCTGAGGCAGCGCTGGAGATCCCCAGGGCCCCGCTGGGACAATCCTTGTTACCTGTGGGAACAAGGGGAGAGCTGAGGCACGGTTCAGGTACTGACAGGGATGAGCAGCCCCAGGAATGTTTGACTCCAAAGGGTTTTCTCACAGCTAAGGGGTTTGCAGCTGCCTCAGGGCAAAATAATTTCGACTTTCTTGGCTAGTGGCACAGGAAGGAACTTGCAAGCAGATTTTGGAGGGATATGCCCTAAATCCCTGAGAGCTTAGTGCCAGAACATCTCTCAGGATCTTAGTGAATGTGCCTGGTGTCCTGCCAGGACAGAGCCCAGCAGATAAATATCTGGAACACAAATGTATTGCAGTAGGGAGGTGGCACTAAGCTGGTTTGTAGCTTCTTTGAGATATCAAAATAATATCCCAGGGATTAAAAAAAAAAAAAAAAGCTACTTTAGATGTGGGCTACTCCAGATTTGGAGATTTTAGCCACACTCAGCATCAGTGACCCAAGTGAGTGAGGTTCCCAAAGGTTTCCCTGCTCTCTTTGTGGAGAGGATCTGCAGCCCCCCAGCCCCTCACCTCCTCCTGTCCACGGCTGTCTTTGGCAAACCAGGCACCAAGGTTTGGAGGAGCTGGTGGACTCGGCGTAGGAGGGAGCTGACACCTTCCAGCAGCCCCCACACCTTCTTCACCCTGCAAAAGCAAAGTACCCAGGCTGAGTTTAATGATGGCTAAAGGCAGCAGAAGGGGAGGTGCTGATGGTAAATGCACACTGTAATCATCTCCTCCATAACCAAGAGATCCTGTGGCATTCCTGCCAGCTGTACCCGCTCTCTCTTGGATCTTGCCTTCAGGGAACACCAAATCCTTCCATGTGTCCCTTCAGCTGCCCCACCACTGCTAAAGGCACAGCTCCTGGTTTGGGTGTCATTCCCAAATGCCTCTCTTGGGATGTTCTTACCCCTTTCTGAACAAGGCTGGGAGCCTGTATGGCTGCAGCAGCACCTTGGCCAGTGGGTCCTGCAGTCCATTCACCTGCTCCTTCTTCCACAAGCCTGGGAATGACAACACAGAAAGAAATAAAGACCAGGAATTACAAACAATTAAATAAATGCAATAACTCCTCTTGTCCAGAGTTCGACTGGAGCCACTCTTACAAAGCCTCTTTGCAACTGAAATATTTACTCTAATAAATAACTCAATCACGTCTTAAATACAACATTGCTGCTCTTGAAGGCCCAAATCCAAGCTGAGCAGCCCAAATCCTCTACCTGGCAGGAAGTAAGGGGTCAGGCACTGAGGGACCCTTTTGCACAGGCCTGGGTGTGTCCCACTGGATTTTCCAGAGTCATTCTTCCCACAGGTGCTGCCAAAGCGGAAATTGCCATCGAAGTAGTTAAAGCCAAAGGCATCTGGGGGACACAGACAGAAAGGGATGATGTTTGTCTGATGTTTGTCTGTGTCACACCAAGGTGCCCTCGGGTCCTGGGGTGCCACTTACTGTTCCTGTACAGGAAAAGGGCAGTGTCCTGGTACCCCTGGGAGAAAATGTCGTTCAAGACCTGCAAGGAGAAACACTTGAGGTCACTAAAGAGCCCTGCCCCCAGTACTACAGGGTCTATCTGTTTGATTGTGGAGTGTTAGGGTGGCCCATTTGGGAAAGCAGCAAGCACTGGGTGGTTTCCAACCACCACAGCACCAGTCAGAGAAACACAGAATGTTTGGGTTGGAAGGGACCTTAGAGATCACCTGGTTTTGTCTGGTCCTTTGCAGGTTGTGGACCCCATCCCAAGCTGGCCACCCATCAGCAGTGTCCCCTCCCCAAAATGTACTGAAAAAACAGTGGGTGCTGCCCCCTCCCTTTGAAATCCCATTAATTAACAGTGGAGATTGAGCTGAACCTTAAATCTTGAGCAAGCAGGAGCAGCATTAAACCTTTCACCAAAACTAATCTGGGAGAAGTTCTGTTGGGCTCACCATGGTGCTGGGTGGAAAGAGAGCGTAGCTGATCCTGCACAGGTTCTCGATGGAGATCTGGATGCTGCCGTTGAAGATCTGGAAGCAGAAGAAGATGGCGGGGCAGTCTCGGGGACAGATGTCCAGCTCTCCGGTGAACGGGGACACGGTGATGACGGGCTCCTCCAGGCTGGACACGGGCTGCAGGCCCGTGAAACCTCCGTCCACGTAGCGCTGGGGAGGAGCACAGGCAGGGTTTGCTCTGGGGACCTTTGCAGTGTCACCGAGTTGGGAGCCAGCAGTGCACTGGTGACACTCCTGTCGTGAGCCCGTCCCAGCTTGTCCTCCCCACTTTCAGGAGCATCTTGTCCCAACTCTGCTCTTTCTCTCTTTTCCAGCTCCTTCCCCTGCCCCACCTGTGGTACCCAGCCACCTCCTTGACCAGGTGCTGTAATCCACAGCAGTTATTAAAATGGAGAAACAATTATTTTCTCTCACAAAGCTTTGTACAACAATTTTTGGCAGTCAAGAGCCAATTCATTCATCACCGAATGGATAGTATTGTATAACTTTCAAGTCCCGAGCTCGAGCAGTAGGGGGCCCATGTTTAGGAATTGCCTGCAGATTCATGGGGGATTACTGGGCAAGGAAAATGTCAATTGCTCTATTCCAAAAGGAATCTGGATCTACCATCCACCCCAGTGGGACGGGAAGCTGCAACTGGTTAAATGTTGATGAAATAACAGTGCAGAGGGGCCTCACAGACCTGAGGATGGGTTGGGTGAGAAGGGACCTTAAAGCTCATCCAGTGCCACCCCCTGCCATGGGCAGGGACACCTTCCACTATCCCAGCTTGCTCCAAGCCATGTCCAACCTGGCCTTGGACACTTCCAGGGACCTTAGAGACCCTTCCAGTGCCTGAAGGGGCTCCAAGAGAGTTGAAGAGGGACTTTGGACAAGAGATGGAGTGACAGGACAGGGGCAGTGGCTTCCCACTGCCATTAGGGTTAGATGGGATATTGGGAAGAAATCCTTCCCTGTAAGGGCAGTGAGGCCCTGCTCAGCTTGCCCAGAAAAGCTGTGGCTGCCCCAGCCTCAGAAGTGGATGCACTGGAAATCACTGCTGAGCTCCTCCTTCCCTTCCCTCAGACAAGCAGAGCATGGAAATGCTCCAGGCTGGAGGAGGATCCTCCCACGAGCTCTCCATGTCTCAGCTGTGCAAGCCAGCACCTGAGCCAAGGGCTGAGCCTGCACTGCAGACAGGCCCTGCCCAGGATAACTGGATTGTGTCTCAAAGTCCCCACTGTGGGCATCCTCTTATCTCCCTCAGACATCTGCAAGGTCATCCACACTCTGCCAATGGGCCAAGCAGGACAGGGCTCTCCAGATGGCAATTCCACCCAGCTGTCATCTTAGGATGCAGTGAGGGATAAGCTGAAGGGATTTATCATCCTCCATCAACTGAAGGAAAAGCCTGGACACACCTATCCCTCCCTGCTCAGAGGAATGTCAAGTTCCAACCCGAGAACACCCTGCTGGGAGCACGTGTTTTAGGGGAAATATCACTCACCACTCCTCGGTAGGATGGAGGGATGAATCCACAGTAAATTGGAAGAAAGCAGCTGCAGAGGAGAGCCTGGGGAGGAGAAGGATTGCAGAAGTCAAAGCTCCTGTCAAAGTTCTTCTGGACAAAAGCTGTGACTTGGTGCCTGAAAATTCAGCCTTGACAAAGTCTGGAACCAGGCTGTTGGTGCCACCTGGACTTTGCTGGGGTTATGGCAAGAAAAGCTTCAAGAAAGGGAAAAGATTTGATTTCATTGAAGTGGAAACACCTCCCTGGAGCAGGGCACAATGCTGCATTTTTTAATTTTATAGCTGCCAGAATTAATAGTTGTGAATCTACATATGTGTCCAACATTGCCCTTTGATGGTGGCAAGCTGAAACTTTGGGGCCAATTTCCATCTTTGCAGGTTTTTGGATAAAACCAAGACACCCTCACAAGGCATCCTCACCCTGCTGGGATCTGTCAGTGGTAAAGCCACTGCTGGGGCATTTGCAACCATTTCCTACCAATCTCATGAGCTGGGAATGAGCACCCCGGGCTCCTGGCCTGCCCAGAGGAGGCACCATGGGGGGAACTCCAACATCTCCATGGAGTTGTCATCCTTTACTGTCTCCCTGGAACAAGGGACCTCACAGTCAGCTCTGTTAGGACTTTACCCTGGGATTCTCTCCCCTATAGATAATTTACTGGTTAATGAGCTGCTTGTTGTTCAGCAGCAGCTTTGTCCAACCCTTTCCTCCCAGGAAAGCACCGAGGCAGCAAGGAAAACTGTAGCCGTGGAAAGGGGTTTTAACCCTTTAAGTGCAGCAGAAATAAGATGCACAGCTACATGGTCGTCTTTCATGACAGGAAGAAAGAGCCAAGTTTATTCAGAAACCCACTTGGTTTTATAGCATGACTGCAACTCCAAGAGCAGAGAAAAGGTGATTGGTTCAGAGAGAAGACACCCCATTGCCAGGGCCTGGGCACACACCACAACAGGGGTTCTATCTTGTTAGTAATTCCTTTTTATTTTGACCAAATTATCACCCTGGGAGAAATTCTCCCTGGCCTTGAGCTGGACCAGCTTATCGGCTGGGAACAGAGCTGAGAAGCTCCAGCCTGGAATATTTTTCAGGCTGTAATTTTCTTACTTTCTCAATATGTGTCCTACAGAAAACCATTGCCAGATGGCTGAGGAGAGACCTGTGGGGAGAACTGAGAGGTCACATCAGCACTGACAGGGCTCTGCAAAGTCATTATTAGAGCCCCAACATCAGCTGTATGAGGCTGCAAACAAACCTGCTGCTTTTTTAGCATGATTTGTTCCATCTGATCCTGGAGCTTCCATCCTGGAGCTCCTCATGGAGCTCATTGTGGTGGGACCATGGCAGAGCCTCCTGCCTCCATCTCAGGCAGAAAACAGAGCAGTTAAAGCCACCAACACTTGGGCTGTGTCCAACCCAGGCAGTGAGTGGGGACCTTCCTGGGGCAGCAGAGGAAGGAGTCAGTACCTGAATGAGCTCCTCCTTGGAGCTGAACTCCGAGGCCATGACATTCTGGCCGTCCACCACCCGTGTCAGTGAGATGTGCAGCCTCCCCGAGGCCAGCAGGTAGGAATCCTCGGGCAGCATCCTCTGCAGGACAGCCTTGAGATTGGCCAGCAAGCTGCACTTGGGGGAGAGGGGGCCCAGGATGGTTTTCCTGACTTCTGTTGCCAGTGCAAAGAAAAACTCCTTTAGGTCATCTGAAACAGAGGTGAGGGAAAGATGGAAAGTCAATACCCCTCCTGCACTAATAGTTATATTTTAAATCCTATTTTTAACACTCTCACAAATAAAGTTTCTTGCAGCCCCTCTGTGTTACCCCGGGATGATAGTGCTGCTACAGTGGCAGGGCAGAAAGGGGGCCATGACCCCCATAACGTCCTCAGAGGACATCATATCTTTGTGTGACCCCACTGGTGAAATCCCCACCTGCAGCAGAGATGGGGCCTCAAAGATGTTCCTGGTCTGGATTAGGGAAAGGCTCCAGAGAGCCCCAGGAAGGAGGACACTGAGTTATCCATGGCAATGTGACTTGCACAGCACATTCCTGCCTTCCACCTCCAGTTTTCCTCGTGGGCAGCCCCAGGCTTTACAGGGGGCAGGGCTGGCTCCTGGATGAGGATGAGGATGAGGATGAGGATGAGGATGAGGATGAGGATGAGGATGAGGGGCACCTCTTCTTCTGCTCAGGGCTTTCCTGGCTCCCCATGGCTGGGATTCCTGGCTCAGGGGAGGTGTTAATAGCCACGGCATGTGTCTGCACACCCCAGGAGGGCTGAGGGCTCAGGAGACTCCAGGTTTGAAAGGTTCCAGTGATGGGGAGGAAGGAGTGCAGCAAAGCCTGCAGGCAGCCTGATCCCATGGAGGGAATTTGGTGCCTTTGCTGACATGGGGAGCTCACCTGGGGGTTTAAACTCTTGCAGTGAAAGCTTGTCCAGCACCGAAGCTGCAGAGAGCTGCCCTTGCACCCGGGGGGGCTCCCTGGGACCCTGCCCCAGTGCCAGACCACGGGCCTGGCTCAGCACCAAGGCTCTGGAGGGCCAGAGGATTCCGTGCAGTCTCATGGGATTGTGAGGATGGACAGACGGATTAGGTGGAGTGTCCCCAAGGCAACTGGAGCAGCACAGGCATTAGGAGGGGTTATGTGTGCTTGAGAGGATGCTGAGGGCACGCGAGGCAATGATTAACACTGGGCGGGTTTGCACAGAGACGATGCTGGAAGAGCCGGACCTGCAGGGAGGTGGGGCACGCCCAGGTCACTGTCTGGCTGCTCTGTGTCCTGGAAATGGGCGAAAAACGTGGAAAAACCGCCCACAAGCTGCTGGGAAGAGGTGAGAGCCCAGCCCAGCTTTGTGGGCTTTGGCTCTGAACAGTGAAGGATGAGCCTGGCAGCAATGTGACTGTCCCTGCCTGCACCAGCCTGGTGACAAGTGTGTCCCCACGAGGTGATGGTGGGGTCACAGAGGGCAGCCTGGCTCTGGGAGCTCAGAGCTCCTCACCCAGCCCAGGGCAGAGGACGGGCACCTGACTGCAGCCACCCCCTGGGACACCAAACACACCTTTCACCTTCATTCCATCCCTATTGTCCCCAGTAGGAATATGACAGAGCTTGTACCACATTCCTTCTCCTTGTTAGAAACCTCACCAGAGCCATCACTGTCCAAAGTGTCTTTTCTACCTCTGGGGAAGATATTTTGGGCACAAGATCATCTCAGCCCTTTTAAGTGGATGGTGCCTTCCACCTCCAGGGAAGCAGATGCCCAGTCCAGGACTGGTGCCCCCAGCAAGAGCAGTTACCAAATGTATTTTTACTGCTGGACAGCCCCAGCTCCATTCATTACATCAGCAGGAGGAATCAGAAATTTTGGGGCCCTTGCTTATTTGTGCAGGAGTTCATCTCCATGTGGGCAGGAATGTTCCTTTCTGCCTTGTCTAAACATATTTGCCAATGTTTTGAATTATTTTTAGCTGCAGAAGAACATTTCCAGCATCCACCAGAGGTTTCAGGAACCGTATGTTCCCTCCCAGTTTCCTCCATCATTATTTGGTCCCAAATAATTTGGATCCTTCTGTTCCTCCTAAATGTCCCCATTGCTTGAAGCAGAACTTGGATCAGGCTTTAGAGCCTTAACTCCTGTGTACACTTGTTTACACATGGGCACTAATTGGAAATATGCGAGGATGTGATTATTAAAAGTGGATTAACTACTCTGAATTAATTCTACACACGGAGGATCTTGTTGCTAGAGGGGCCTGTTTCCACACTGTTGAAAGAGGGTCAGAGCAAAACCCCTTTAGCAGCAATAAGAGAAATCCCAGCCCCAGGCTGGAGCAGACTGCCTCTCCTCCAGGAGTGTCCTGCTGACAAGCCCTCGAGCCTTAGCACAGGGAAAGGTGCACCTGGACTTGGGAATCACACAACATCTCCCCTTGCTCTGGGAAGGGTGAGTGGGATAAGTGACATGCAAACAAGGCTGTCAGCTCTACAGACACCTGTGTGACAGCCACTCGTGTCCCTTCATAGCTACACATCCCAAGAAACCTGATCCAGAGGGAAAGGAGGGCTTCACCTGGGCAAACCCGGCCCCTGCAGCTGCACAGACTGCAGGGACACATCACAGCACCCCTCAGACCTCAGAGCACAAGGGAAAGGAGCCAGTGGAATACAGGCACATCCAGATTTCCCCCTGTAATTTCTGCCCACCAGCTGAGCCAGGGAACACTCGGGCTGTAAGAACCCAAAACTCCCAAAAACTCCCACCTGCCAAAACGGCACCGCGCCGGCTGCCGAGCGCGCCAACACCTTGGGTTTCTGTAATGTCTCCAGCTGAGTTCCTCCAGCCCCAGCACCCCAGCAGCCCCCTGAGGCATCACCCCTGGGCTCATGGACCCAGAGAGCTCCAGGAGGACCCGAGGCCGTGGTTTTTTGGTTTTCTTACCGAGGCCGACGCCGCACACGACGGCGGCGGCGATGAGCGAGCCGGCCGAGGAGCCGTAGACCTTGCAGGCAGACCTGAGGAGCTCGGGAGCCAACTCCAGCAGGGACTGCACCACCCCAACCTGGTACAGGGCCAGGAAGCCACTGCCCGAGAAGGAGAGTGAGAAAGGGGTGCTGGAAGCCCGGAGATCCTCCACGGCCATCTCGGGATCGAAGCGGCCGATCTGGCTCAGGGTCTCGCCTCGTCCTTTGCCACCAGGTGAACCTCAGGCTCTCTTCTCCTGTGCTGTCTCCAGGCTCATCTCTGGCTGCACAGGAGTCCAGAAGAAGGATTTTCTGCCTCCTTTTATGACAGCTCCCCGAGGCGTTGAGATTCACGAGCTATTTTAATTGCCGCCTGTGCTAAAAACAGAAATTTTCCCCTGATCAAAACAGCTCTTATAATCCTAAACCACTGCCAGCTCCAATGAGCTGAATCAGGGCTCTCCTCTCATGCCAAAGGTCTGCAGTGCTCCAGGAGCCCTCCCAGAGAGTGTCCTGGTGTTATAGTGCCCGTCCCACTTGGAAACGTCCGTGCAAAAATTCCTCTTTGCTTCATGCTTTCTTCATCAAAGGGTGTTTTCCTAAATTGGATTCTCCATCAATCCCAGCTTAGGCACAGCTCAGTACTGAGTGAGTAAAGGCTTGTATAAGACACTTAAAGCCAGAGGGTGTTACACAAGGGGTGGATGCGGGGTGTTACACTGAGTTAGGTATGGAAATATTCCTTATATTTGCTCCCTGTTGGAAGAAGTTTTAGATTTTTTTCCAAACTAGATTCTTGGCTGGTAGCAGAAACTACAAAAATTACGTTGTACATTCACAAATACATTTAGAAAAGCAGGTAAATAAAAACATGTGCACAAACAGCAACAACCCCTGTTGGGAGGGTTTTGCCCTTGAATGACCCTCGGATATCATTTGCATGGGGCAAAAACTGAAGACCTGGCTTTGTTTTTCTCTCCCCTCTCAACAAGGCCCTACAGCAGCACCAGTTTGCCCAAACCTGTGGTTATTAAACCAGAATCAATCTGTCTTTGAACTGTCTGCATTGCCTGGGGGATACTTATAAAACCAGGGAGAAATGCCTTGTCTTGTCTTTTCATGATGATCCAATGCTGCTGCCAACATACAGAACAAAAATTTCCATTTTAACAGATGTATTTATTAAGCACTGGTAAATATTGTGTCGTTTCTGTTGTCCAAATCCATAGAGCTGCACACTGAGAGGAAGCATTCCGTGGGATAGAATTAGGGCTGTGTCTACAACACAATATGTGGGTAAGAACAAGGCTCCCCTCCCCTGTGTCCATGCTCCAGCCTGGCTGGGACAGTGCAGGGAACCTCAGCATGGTCCCAGCATCCTGATACCACCTTTGCAGTGCTGCTTCACCCCAAATTTTCACACATTTTTCCCTGCCTTCTCCAGCCATGACTGTGTCCCCAAGACAGGAATTGGAGCAGAGTCCCCCACACTGACATGAAAAATGTCCCTGGGTGGAAGTGTCACCAGGAGCTGCCCATCAGCAGGTGGACATTGCCTGGAACCCCCAGGTAAATGTCACAGCATGGCCAGGGCTGGTCTCTGGTGCTCCCTGGATGTCAGGACACACAGGAGGAGGTTGCCAGCTCCAAGATATATCTAATAATGAATGGGATTATCCTGGAGGTGAACAACTGCCTGAATTAGGGCTTTTAGTTCCACAGCCTTACTGGAGCCTCTAATTTCTTGTCTTTCCAGTGCTTGACGTTTCCCCTGATCCCCTTGCTGGGTGAGTCTCCCACAGGCCCCAGCCTCTCCATCAGCCTCCTGGAGGTATCAAAGCTTTGATCTCCAGTCCTTAGGAAAGCAAATCCCTTCATTTAAAGGATTTTCTTCCATCACTGGCAAGCTCAGAAGGACAAAACTATCACCTGTTGCTGTGACTGGTCCAGACCTGCCAGGGCACTGGAAGTGCAGAGGGTTTGTGTGCTGGAATGAGCTGTTCCCATGCTCCCTGTGCATTAACTGTTCCTATTGTTTGCTCAGGCCCCCAGGGACTCCAACAGGCTCTGCACACAGAGCTGTGGGATGCTCCTGCTTCACTCAGCCCTTGCAGCTCCTCAGCCATGCCCAGCCCTGACTGCCAAGGTTTGGGAAAGGTACAAAGGAGCCCATGGGAGGTGTGGGAACAATCTCCTCTGTCCACACACAGCTCTGTCCTGCACTCAGTCACGGGGGCTTCTCCAGGAGGGCCAAGGTGTCAAATCCCCCCTGCACCCTCCCCAGCTGCCAACACCCCGGCCTGGGACAGCCTCCAGGAGCCATCATCCTGCCTGGCTCAGCTCCACGCTCCCGTGAGATGAAACCTTGTCATCATCCTCTTAGTGACAGCAAGTTTTGCATTAATTGGCTCATTAAGTGCCAGGCTGATTTTCTAAGCTGCCCTCCCCCCCACCCCAGCACTCTAAAGCAGGATTAGAGGGCACTGCCAGCTTTGGAGACACAGGATCCCTGAGCAGCCTGGGATGGTTTGGGGAGAAGCCCCCGGCTCACAGGAGCACTGGGTGGGCTGGGGGCTGTGCAGGGCTGTGCTTTGCCCTGTGTGTTGGGCAGGTCAGAGCCCAGATGGTCACTCTGATCACGATCATGATCCATGATCAGGGATTGTCTTTGCTGGGGGAAGGCACAGCCGGGTGTTGAGGGCAGGATGAAGGTAATGCCGAGAGCTGGAAACAGCTCAACCCTCCAGGACTTACAACTTGCCCTTCTTTAAAACCTTCTTAATATCTTCAGTGGCCACAGGCAATCAGGTCCCAATTTTATAACCCAATTTTATAATCCAAGATGCTGGAATTGCTCACGGGAAGGGACCTAGGCTCCAGAAGCCACCAGCCCTGGAATGCTGCCCTAAGGCAGATCCTGACCTCATCCCACCATGCTCGGCTGGAGCAGCGTCCCTGCACGCTGGGTTGGGTTTTTTGGGAGCAGGAACCTCTTGTGCAAGGTCTGGCTCCTTGTTCCCCCAGCCTGGCTGCCCTGGTGGGTGGGAGAAGCTCCAGTGGGCAGAGGAGAGTGTTTGGTTCAGCTGCGCTATTGGGAAGAGCACAGGAGGAGGGAATGGGAGTTTTCCTTTCTGATGTTTCACCTGGCAGGTGCACCCCACGTGCTGATGGAAGATGATACCCTCTGGGACAGAGGATATTTGACTTTCCACCAGGAAGTCAGTGAGGAGACAGAGCCCCTTTCTGCTCCATGCAAATCCCAAACCATCCCTGGCACCGCACGAGCTCAGAAGCAAAACAAACGGGGGCATCCTGTGACCCTCCAACCCCATCCCCAGAACATCCCCAGCACCAGCTCACCCAGCCCTGGTCCCAGCCCTGGTCCCAGCCCTGGTCCCAGCCCAGCTCAGCCCCAGGGGCTCTGGGCAGGGAACAGCAATGTCGGGACTGTTGCAAACAAACGAGGGCGGTTTCAGTTTCCCCCACAGCAAAATCTCCTGGGTTGGTTCCCAAGCAAAATGAATCGTGGTGCTGATGCTACACTGTTGTTGGCAGGACCCAGGAGTGGGATTTAATGTTTTCCACACTCCTAATTACCCCGGGCTGAATTAGATGGAGCCCTGCAAGGTGCCCCCCTCCCTTGGCAGCCGGTGACTCAATCCTGTGTCTGTCAAACACAGCCCCGGAGGCTCTGGGGATGTGGATCTGGGTAGGGAAGGGCTGCTTCCACCCTTCAAGGGCTCTGCTTCCCCATTTTAATTTACTTTGGGTTTTACAAGGACTGGGAAGGTCAGATCCTCCAGGAGAGGAGGTGCTGGGCAGACCTGGGCTGTCACCCCAAACGTGGCAGTGACTCACACCCACACGTTTGTTTGCCACCACTATCGCCTTCAACCCACTGGAACATCCCTCCTGCACAATGCAAACCCCAAAACTTCATCTCCCTCACCCCCAGCCATGTCCAGCCTTGCAGAGGAGATGCTGCTGCTGGTGCCACCACACTGAGCCCTGGCCGTTCCCCTGCCAGCCCAGCCCCAAGCTGCCTTAATCCATGGCCCTACTTAGGGTCTGGGCAAAGATTAGCTGGAAACATTCCCAGTGATTAGGGTTTAAATCGCTTTGGCATTTCACATCTTCTTAGAGCTCATAGGTGAGACCCCAGCTATAAATCCTCGAGGATGTTACAGCTCCTGCACTGCTTGGGAATGAGCTTTACCCAGTTCTTGGTGTCACATCAAGCTGATCTGGGCAGTAAATCTCCTTCTGTGCAAAGGGAAGGCCTATAAATTATAAAAATGGCAGGACAACACTGTGTATCTGCTCTCTTGGAATTTGGCTGGAAAGGAGCAGCCCTCAGCAGCTGGAGCACAGCAAACATTACTCCATCTATAACAACTCCCAGCAAACAAGCCTGGCTGGCATTTAGGCACCAATTTATTTGAGTTCTAGATTTTTTTCCAAACTGGATTCTTGGCTGGTAGCAGAAACTACAAAAATTATGTTGTACATTCACAAATACATTTAGAAAAGCAGGTAAATAAATACTTATGTACAAACAGCAACAACCCCTGAGGTTCAACATGAGCACTTGGTGGGAGCTAAAATACAAATACAGGGTGAAATCTGGGCTCTGATTTACAGACTCTTCGTCCCCAGCCAGCTGGGGTTCAAGCATTTCACACTGCTGGCACTGTCATGGGGGTTTTCCTTCAAAGATTTTAAATCCACAGCTCGGAAGTTCACCCCCACATCCAGGTCACTGTCAGGGATTGTTCTCCCACCACTAAGTGTTCATCCTTGGGTTCCCAGGCACCACAGGCCCCTTGCAGCAGCTGCTGTCAGTCTGGGCTGTCACAGTGGTCTGTCCTGAGCTTTTCTCTCGTCTGCTGAGACAAAAGGAAACATTCTTAGAATCATGGAATATTTAGATTGGAAAGGGATGTTTAAAGCTCATCCTGTCAGGGGCAGGGACACCTTCCACTACCCCAGGTTGCTCCAAGCCCCATCCAACCTGTCCTGGAACACTTCCACAGATGGGCAGCCACAGCTTCCTGGGCCACTTGTCCTAACTTGCTGCTGGGAGCTCATCCCAGGCTCATCTTCCTCCTTACCTGGAGAATTTTGCCGTAGGGTGCCAAGGAATCGTCCAGGTAGCGAGTGCCAAAGCCCATGATCCTGTTCACTGCCTGGCTGCAGATCCCTGCCACCGTGGCTGTCAGATGGACTGTGTAGGCAAACTGGATCTCCTGGGGGCTGGCATTGGGCCTGCTGGCTGTCAGCTCCCTCTGCACGTAGGCATCAGCCAGGCTCTTGAAGGAGGTGTAGGACATGTCCCTGAAGAACAGCTGCAGCCGGGCATCCTCCCTCACCTGGGTGGGACACGAGTGACTGAGTGAGTGAGTGAGTGAGTGAGTGCATGTCCCGAGGGAATGGCTCTGAGTGCCACCCTTCACCCTTCACTGCAGCTGGCAGAGGACAGACAGCCAGGCACGATCACACCCAGGCAAGGAATTAAAAGTTGCCATTTCCTTGATTTTCCCGAGTGTTTTCCTGCCCCAGGAAAGTGGTTGGTGTTGCCGTATTTATTTTACAGCAGTGCAGAGCTTGGCCCAGATTCCCCCAGCCCCATCCAGCTGTCCCCAGCTCCCTCACCTGCCTGTCCAGCTCATCTCCTGCAGTCCGGAGCAGGGCAACGATTCTCTTGATGGCTTCATCTGCAGAGAGAGACACCAGGTTATGTCCAGCCCTTCCTCCAAGCCTCACACATCCAGATGCCCTGTTTAGTCCCCAGGAAAAACTCCTTGAGCAATGTTTACCCACCTCCATCCTTCCAAAACCCATTCCAGCCTATTGCCAAGTGCCTTGTTACCCTTATT